CAGGGCATTCTTGTAGTCGCTGCTTGTGTCTTCCTGAGGACAGGAGGGACGTGGGAATTAGAAGGGGGGTGGTTTGTGACATTGGCTTGACTTGGAGTCACCTCCATCAGGAGCAGCTGCTCTTATTACTAGGAGTTGTGCTTCTCTGGGGGAGACCTGGCACATTTCTCTTCAGGTTCCTATGCCACAGGCCCCTCACTGTCACCCGTCTTTCTTTGTTTTCCATTTCAGGCTGTTTCTATTGCCACCCCCAATCCCCTACCACCTACCGCCCCATTCTGAAACATCTTAAAGCAGAAATGTCTTTTTAGCATATTGTAAGCTATGTGTGTCTTGGAAAGTGTAGTGAACAATGGACGCTTGTAGAATAACTAGAGGCTTGACTTAATAGCCAATGAAGACTTAGGGATATATTTCTCATGACTTGACTTCTGTTAATGAAGCTGTCAAGGCCTCATTTGGTATTAATGGCTAGAAGAGCTATTTCTCTTGAAGTTAGAGCAGTGTGATAATCACTGTGTTTTCTCAGCTCTAGAACGTTCACTAATTGGAATCAGGTTAGGCAGCCCACTGGAGCTCACATGATTTATGTCCTTAAATTTTTGCTGTCAGGACTACCTGTATCTGTATTTGAATGCTACGCCTCGACTCCTACTAAACTATTTACTCTCACTGACTCTTCAGATATGGTTCCTTCTGCAAGGATTCGGTGTGTCATTTTCAAAGGGGCAACCATAACTCAAATGCAAAAGCTAACTTTCTGGGTGAAACGTACAGGGGCCTCCCCTAGCTACACCGACCTCCTTGCTGATCCCTGTACATAGCACACAGCAATGAATGCAAGAACGTGATACCCACTGAGGAGGGACGGACACGTGTGACTTATGACATCGGTCACAGCATTCAGGTTTCCCAGTAAGGTCTCTGTTTAAAACTGCTGTTAGAAATGGGAACTCAAGGCTCACCATGATCATGCTGCTGAGGGTCTTGCCGTACATCTCCTTGAACTGACACTTGATGAGATTTAAGTCAATCTCACTCCTCGAAACGATGTTTCTTATCAGGGTCCCATCGTGAGTTCCTGCTCCCTGGATAAGACACAGCAGTCAACCATCACTTCTTGCCTTCCTGGTCCATCTCTGTGATAACGGACAAATCTATGTTGGGTTCAGGGGGCTTTCGTAGGGGATGGAGGTACAGGAATGAGCCTCCGCTTTAGCAGTGAAGCACTGAGAGGGATACGCTGAGGGATGCGGGATCCCTTGATCTCTTCTCACTCACTGCTCATGTTTGTCTCTTATTAGATGCCAAATGCCCCAGATGGCAGTGTGTGTGTGATTTGCTACATCAGATTCTAGACACAAAATGTTCACTGCTCCAGGAATAAGGCCTCTTCCTAGGGCAGCAACACCATGAAATCAGCTTAACTGGCCAATTCACATGCAGGACCCTCCTACTCACTTTCATCCTTGATCACTCTCATGTCAGAGGGAGCCACGTGACCAAGGGAATCCCACGCCCTCTCGCATTTCCTGGCCAGATGTAGCCAGAGAGCTTGGGGTTCTTGCTTCAGGTGATGTTAGCAACCATCAATCAGAGAAGGTGGGCTAACTTTAATCTCCAGGAATTATTTTCACTATCTATCTTCCAGTGTGGTTCCAGATACCAGAGCCTCTCCTGATATGAGTGTCTTGAACATCTGAGTGGCCAGTGCCGCCTTTTGGACAACAGGCAAACCCAGACGGGCACCCTGGCACATGCAGGGTTGTTGAGCTGCTGTGTGTGGCAATCTCACTCTTAAACATGCCCGTTCAAAGGATGCCTTGACCTCCTGGCAATCCTGACCTGTGCTTTGTCAAGGAGGCCACGTGGGCAATGATGCATAAATAAAATCATGAATAAAAAAGACAATTGCACGGGCTTGGACTCAACTCAACACTTTGCCACCTACTAGCTGTGTGACCTTGACCACAAGCCTTGGTTTCACCCCCTCTGGGAGGGCAGATTACTACATAAGTTTCACAGGATTGTGGTGAAAGTTTAGTACCATGAACACCTGTTGAATGCACCTACTCAAATTCAGCCTTCAGGAGCTGTGGCTTCCCTTCCCTAGCTTGGTTTGCCCTCTGAGAACTAAAACTATTCTGGTCCACAAGAGGCTGGGATAAGAGGAGACCCAAGGGTCGAAGACGTGGGTGGTGGCTCTGAGCTCCTTGGCTTTGCAGTTGTGCCGTGTAGGACTGAGGGTCAGGCGCACAGAAGACAGAACAGTTACCTTCATGGCATAGTAGAGGCGCTCTGCAAAGTAGCTGTGGAGGTTCCGGGTGCATTTCACTGGCAAACAGGAAAGTTCTGTTAGCAACCAGAGGTTGTAGGCGACATTGTATACATGTTTATTTATTTATGTCTTGCTTTGGGTCTTAAGGGTTAGTGTTGTGCAAATCTTGGCCTATTTATCTGTGCTCTGCCTAGTCCTAAAATGAGAGGCTTTGTGTCAGGAGGGGTGGGGCAGGGAAGGAAGCCCAGGGCACTGGGCACAGGTGCAAAGGCCGAGAGTAGGCAGACAAAAGGGTGAGGTGTGAAACGCACTGGGACCCACAGGGCTGGTCTGGCTCATCAGAGCACAGCTCCACCAAGGGAGTCCCTGGGCTCTTACATTCCAGACACAGCTTCACCAAGAACCAAGAATCTAGGCACACAGCTCCATGGAGGAGCCACCGTTGTGGTGACCACTGGCCTCTGAGTGCCTGCTTTACATGTCACCTCTCAGAGGGCCCCTGCAGATTGAATTCCCCTGTGACAAATGGGTTTTGGACCCAGAGCAAGAAGGCACCCAGGGCATCTGGCCCTATCCTCGTTTTCATGGATGCTGTTTCAGAGACTTGGTGTCTGGGTGGGGAGGTTGGTGTTTTAATCCAAGGTGGCAGAAAGAGCGAGGGCTTTGAGGGAGGTGGGCATGAGTTTGAACCCTGCTTGATGGCACCAGGTGCCTAGTGACTTGACCTCCCTGCCTTGCACCATCCTCACGTGTGAAGTGAGTGATGAGTCTTCAAGGATAAACAAACAGGAAGTGCCCAGCACACCAGGGCCCGGCATACCCTTGCTTTTCCCTGCCTGTGGATTTTATTCAGGAGTTGTTTAAATCGGATCCAGGGGCTGCCTTTGGAAGCTGAGACTGGAGCAGGAGGCATGCTTAGATGCTCCAACATAGATTGGATTTATCACAGCAGTCAAAGGCAGCTGGGAGAGTCAGATGCCCCAGTTTACCCCCGTGGACCAGGACACACTGTGTAGCTCCGCTGGCTGCTCGGCACCCAGTGGGCACAGCCTGGTGTGGAGGTGACCTTGGCTCCATCATGGGAGGGAGGAGGGAAGTCCCTCTGCCCTGGGCCTCAGTTCTTCACTCTGCAATGACTCCTCTCCCTGTCAACTTTGGCTCTGGACCCCAGGATGTGCTCTGCAACCTGTCCTCCTACATGAATCTGACCTCATGCTTCGTGGAAGGTTCTCAGTGTTCCCTTAGTGTCAGACCACCGATCACTCAGTTTGGATTCCAGCTACACATCATCATTTCTTCAATCAGCAACTGAGGCAGGGAACAAACCCCTGGCTAAAGTCCAGCCAGGTGATTTCTTCAGGGCTTCACAGTCAGAACCAGAATGTTCCTTGTGTGGCTGCTGTGGGTGAGCACAGGCCCTGGGTCTGGCACAATCCTGCACATGTGTGCACACACACACGCACACACACGCACAACTCGCGTGCACACACTCGCACGTGTACACCTGCAACACACTCTCGCGCACACACACTCACACACAGTGCACATGCACACACACACGCATACACACACTCACACATGCATACACTCAATGCGCATACTCACTCGCAAGCACACACTCACACACAAGCACAATGCAGACACAGACTCATGCACACACTCATGTGCACACACTCATGCACATGCACATACATGATGACACACTCACACGGCGCTGGGCACTCTGTGGGCAGCACAGAGAACAATCTCTAGCAGGACACAGCACATTGAGGACACGAGGGTCTCCCCTAGTAGCTCTGGTGTCCTGGGTGAAGGGTACATGCTGAGAGTGGCGGCTGGTGTGGAGGTTGGCTTTGAAGGTGAACACAGGGACTCAGCACTTGCTATTGCACCCTGGGCCCTTCGCCCTTTGGTGCTGCCCCGCTTCTGAGCCCCAGGGCCAGCAGACACACGTGAGCCCGAGCACGGAGCTCCGTCTCTTACCCACTGTGAGCATGGCCTCCTCCAGTGAGCCGTGGGTCTCACTCTTGATGCTGTCCTCAATGCTCTTGCTGGCGATTTTCTCATATTCCTCAAACACTGTGGAGAGAGGCCTTCTCTTAGGGGACACGCGCATCTCAGCGTGACGCCCCCCAACATCTCAAATAGGAGACTGCACAACAGTGCACCACCCCTGACCTCCACTTGGCTGCTGGGGAAAGGGTCCAGGGCTCCTTGGCTCTTTCCCCAGCTCCATGATTTGACAAGGCCACGCACTGGGTATTCAGTTGAAGGGAGAGGACCTAGAGCCAGGGTGCCTCCCTGTCCCCCAGGACCTCCCTACCTCCCCGGTACCTCTCATCAGGTGTGTGGCACTGCGCGTGCACAGGATGGTGATGAATTTCATCTCATCAGTCCCACAAATCTTCTCACCCACCGTGTAGAGATCCTGGCATTGGGACACCCACGACAACCAGTGAAGGCGAGCAAGGGGGGTGAAGAACAGCCCCCCATCCACCCTGCCAGGTTGGCATTCTCCTCTGCTCGATCATCTTTTTGACTGGGAGCCTGCTATCCCCGTGGTTAAATTCTCTTCTCGACACTGGGCTGCTCTAGGAACTGTCCCACCTCCCCTTTGGGGCCTTGCTCTGCCTCTGGGCACCTTCAAGAGCTCTGCCAGCAGGCAGACCTATAGAGAGCTGAATGCACACATCTGGGCCTCGGAGGCCCAGCATCCCTGGGTTTGTAGGCTGTTCCTGCCCGGGCAGAGCTTCAGTGAACCCCGCCCAAATCAATCTCCTTCCTCCCCTCCACCCTCACTTCCCTCTGCAGACACCAGAGGGTAAAGGCCTGCAGAGAGCTGAGCCAGGGCCCAGCCTAGCATCAGAGAAAACCCCCGCGGGCAGAGGGGCTGGGTGAGGCTTTTAGGCTTCAGCATCCCGGGGTCTAGATGGCAGAGGGTGGGACCGGCTGGTCTGCAGGGCAGAGCTGCTGAGGGGTAGCCTTACCTGTGCATCTTGCAGGGCCAGTCCTGGGTCCACGAAGCCACACAAGTCATCTCTGCTGCCCTAGGAACAGAAGAGGCAACTCTGTAAGGCAGGCTGGCTGAGCAGAGCAGCCGGGACAGAGGGGACAGCCAGGTAGGAAGGAAGGCAGTTATCCTCTCCAGGCCTTGGCCTCTCATCCGTAAAGGGAGAGTCATAAGGAATATCCTGTAAGGAGCTGCGGGACTCAGTGAGCAAAAGTGAGCAACGTGCCTGGCATGGGGCCTGGTGGGAGGGACCTGCTCAGTGACGGGCCCTCTACTACTTTCTGGAGAGGTGCAGGGGCTCTGCCATAAGGACACTCCGAGCCCGCCGGGATGTACCCAGTGAGCCCAGGCCCCAGTGGCTGTACCACACCCTTGCCCCCCACCCCACCCCAGTAGCTTTGCCCAAGAGCCCCTCTCTGAGGGGGGATCTGTGGGGATCCCCCAGACAAGGGGCTCCCAGGAGCCTGGGCTGTGATACCTGCAGGAGGCACACCAGGATCCTCTCCAGGTAGCCGCTGGTGTCTGCTTGGATGTCTTCCTCCAGGCTGGACCCATAGTCTGCAGGGGATCAGGACCATGAGGCTCAGACCTGCTTCCCTCCTCCTCGCCCCATTTCTCACCCTTTTCCTGACTAAAGCCTTCCCGGAGAGATGAGTCCTTGGCACAGGGAGAGTTTGCTCTGTCCAGGTGTCTGAGTGGCAGAGGCTCCCTGATGGTGGTTGTTCAGACCTAGGAAGCAACACGGGTTGCCAGCCAAGCTCAAAGCACAAAGATGGGCCAGGCCAGAGAGCCAGGGGCTGCTGATTGAGCCTTATTTCATCACGTGGTTCGGCAAAGCCAGGAACTTCCGGTGCACTCCCCACCAGGCAGACATTGTGGAGGACAGGCTTTGCCTTGCAGCCCATGAGAGCTGGCTAGGGCTCCACACCCGCCACTGCAACAGGGCCCTGCATGGGCCCCAGGGTCAGCCTGTGCCTGGCCAGGAAGGTGTCAGCCCCGCCCACTGCTGACACAGCCGGCGGCCCACAGTGCTGGCACACTGTCAAGGGGCAGAGAACTTAATGGGTGCATGCCCTCCCCCGCAGCAGCCCATGCGCTTAGGGAGCTCAGAGACGGATCCCGACTCATATCCAATCTCACTGTCAGGCACGGGATTTGGCACACAGAAGGTGCTCAGCATCTGTGTGTGGAAAAGCCCAGAAAGAATCCTTTCCAATGTGGCCCAGTACACGGCTTGTCTCTTATTTGCCGCTAGGCTGCCAAAGCTCATGTTCATTTCCAAGCTAGCCTTTAACTCAGGGCCCACATCCTCCCTCTTAGCAGCCCCCTTACCCTCCTCATATGCCTTCATTATCTCCTGCAGCTGGTTCTTGGTCCGAGAAGCCAGGATTTCAATGACGACGCCCTCCCTGGTTCCTAAGCCCTGTGGATAAAAACCTCTGCCTGCTGGAGAGCTCTGTCCACACCCTCCTGCTCTGTCTGCACTCTCTTTTGTCAAGAGGCAAAAGGAAGAGTCCTAGGACGAACCAGTTAGTGCTGTGCTGGGGGGCCTCTGCTGGAGGATGTTACTGGGGGAGATCACGTGCATTTGTCTCCAGTGGTGGATACTTGTGGGCAAGTGATGTGATGGGAGAGCTGTGTCTCAGCTCAGCCCTCTATAGCTGGGTGGTCCCAAACAGGTTACTCTACCTCCCTGAGCCTGAGGGTCCTCATCAGGACACAGGGATAATAAGTCACCCCCACCCCGAAGGTGGAGGTAATAGATGTAAAATGCCTGGCATGTCCACACAGTAAGTGCCCTTTCAGTTTTTCTTTTTTTTCCCTGCACTGTGCAGCATGTGGGATCTTAGTTCCCCAACCAGGGATCGAACCCGTGCCCCCTGAATTGGGAGCATGGAGTCTTAACCACTGAACCACCAAGGAAGTCCCTTTTCAATTTTTTTTTTTTTTTTTGGAGTAAGTACCCTTCCTTTCTTTCTTTTTTTAAATTAAATTAAATTAAATTAAAATTTTTTATACAGCAGGTTCTTATTAGTTATAAGTGCCCTTTCTTTTCTTTTTTTTTTTTTTTTTTTGGCGGTTCGCGGGCCTCTCACTGTGGTGGCCTCTCCCATCGCAGAGCACAGGCTCCGGACGCACAGGCTCAGCGGCCACGGCTCATGGGCCCAGCCGCTCCGCGGCATGTGGGATCTTCCCGGACCAGGGCACGAACCCGTGTCCCCTGCATCGGCAGGTGGACTCTCAACTACTGCGCCACAGGGAAGCCCTATAAGTGCCCTTTCAACGGAGATGATTATTATTACTTGGTCCTGACTCCTTCTTAATCATCTTCGAATGCAAAAGGAGCAGTGGGAAGTAACGGGAAATTGGGGGACCAGGCACGAGACAGCAGAGGCTGGTTCCTAATTCCTGCACACCTGGTCTAGCAATGTCCTGAGAAGGACGAATTTTGGCTCCATCAAGGGCAGATGATGGCGGAGGCCAGTCTGTGTTTGGTGGCAGTCTGGGTGACAGGGACAGAGTAAAGGGACAAAGAAGGTGATTAAATAGTTAATCCCACTAGGGCATTGTCAGTAGAGAAAAAAAGTATGGGAGACCCCTGTAAGTTAATGATCACTCAAGAAACCACGTTTGCTTAACCACAAAGCCAAGCAGGCTTGCTTAGCAACAAAACCATGCAACAGAAGCATGGCCCCCAAACAATAAAACAATGGTGGAATGAGACCCACATCCTGCCCAGTGAGCTCAGTAAGTTAATGATTCCTAGAACATGCTCCTCTGTGCACACTAAAAACAAAAATATAAGGAAAAGGTGATATTATACTGAAACCTGAGATGATTTACCATATTTTAGTATATGTCACAGCCTTTTTGCTCATTTCCATCGCGCCACGACAGTCCCGGTTTGACCATGAAACAAGAAACAAGGGACAAGAAAACTCCCCTGCCCGACATGGAGGAGGGAACTGATGATAGAAGCGTGAAGTCTACTCAAGAACGAGGAAGAAGGTGGTCTTCTCCCCCTCCCCACTCTTCCTTTGATTGTGAAACATTTGGGCTTCCCTGGTGGCGCAGTGGTTAAGGATCCGCCTGCCAATGCAGGGGACGTGGGTTCGAGCCCTGGTCCGGGAAGATCCCACATGCCACGGAGCAACTAAGCCCATGAGCCACACCTACTGAGCCTGCGTGCCACAACTAATGAAGCCCACGTGCCTGGAGCTCGTGCTCCGCAGCAAGAGAAGCCACCGCAATGAGAAGCCCGCGCACCGCAACGAAGAGTAGCCCCCGCTCGCTGCAACTAGAGAGAGCCCATGCGCAGCAATGAAGACCCAATGCAGCCAAAAATAAATAAAAACAAAAAAACAAAAAACAAAAAATCCTGTAGCCCACTAAGTTCTTGGGGTGGCACCCTCTTGCCTGCCTACTTGTAAGCCCCACAAGCGTCCTATTCTAATAAATCACTTCTTATCTATCACTTTGCCTCTCACTGAATTCTTTCCGTGCTGAGATAGAAGAACCTACGCTCTACTAAGTCCCGAAACATGTATGATTTCACGAGCAGCAGGCTGCAAGCTCGCTGGGCTCGTTCCAAACAGTGGCTCAAGGGGAGATCAGAGCTCCCTGTGCCAGGCTCTCTGGGGAAAGCAGTCCCGGGCATCGTTCCCCCACCCAGTCCTTGTAAGTGTTTCTGCCCCCCCCCCCCCCGCTTGCTTCGTTACCTTCATGGCGTCGTACAGCTCCTTGGCTTCGTATCTGTATGGAGGGTACATGAGGGCTATGATGAGCCTCTCGAACTTGCCGCTCAGCTCCGACTTCAGTGTCTCGGTGAGATCCTAAGGCAGGAGCAGGGAAGGGTGGTGCTCTGTGCGCTGTGTCCACTGGAGTGCAGGCAGCAGGTGCTGGCTGGGCCTAGGGGCTCTGGCTGGATTCCCACGTGGGCTCTGCCACACGCTGGTGCTGGCTGGGGCTTCTTGGGCCAGCAACTCAGCCTCTCTAAGCATCCTTACCCTTTTCTGTGAAACAGAGACCTGCTCCTGCTTCTGCTCCTGCTTCATACCACTGCTTAGGGGATTGGTGGAGAGATGTCGAAATCGCTCTCAGCGCAGCACCGGGCACACCATGAGCCCAAAATACAAGTCTGTCATTAAGCTCATCAAGTCCCTGTCACTTAGCCCATAGACATTCAATGAATGAGTGAAATGAATTAAGGAATCCATCTCACGGTGTCTCCTTCTAAGGGCACTTATATTTGCAAGAAACCACAAGGCCACACCCAGCTGATCTCCCCTCACAGCACAGCGAAGGACCAAGGGCCTTGTCAGACCTGGATTTAAATCCCAACCTTGTCGCTTACAGGCTCTGGGATCCTGGGCAACATCCTCTATCTCTCAGAACATCAGTTTCCTCTGACGTCGAATGCAGAGAATAATGCATAGTTGTGAAGGTTAAGAGAGAGAAATTATTTTTTAGGAGAGCACGTTGTTTTCTCCCATGGAGTGTTTGGGCTTCATCATTCATCTTCCTGGGTTAAGTGTCCACATTACCAATGTGTGCTAATGGAGGCTTCCGGCCACCACGGCTCTGTGTGCATTTATTCCTGTGTTTAGCTAGGATGCCGATGTCTCGCTCTGTCCTGGAGGTGGCGCGAGGAGGGACAAAGGGTCCAGGTGGCATGCTCCCTGCCCTTGGATATCGCCTGTGGCAGGAGGGAAGGGGCATGGGAACAGCAGCTCCAACGCGAGGAGACAGTCCTGTGGCACAGCACAGAGCAGAGCCCGGCCTGCATCTCTGGTGTGTGGGAAAGAGAAGGGCCTTCCAGTCTTGGGGAATAGGACAAGCAAAGCATAGAGGCAGGGAAACAGCTCAGGGATGGGGCCGTGGAGCAATTGCAAAGGAGCAAGTGAGAGAGAAGGTGGGAAAGGAGGTTGGGGCCAGACATCAGAAGGCTGGACCAAGCCAGGGCTGTGGGGAGCCATCAGTAAGTTTTCAGAGTTAAATCTGATTTTCAGAGAAACAATGCATCATGTTTTTAGTGTATGTCCCAAATGCCCCATGTTGCCAGTGGGCTGGGCTCTAGGCCAGCTGGACCTCATCCAGCAAGGCCCTGCCTGCAAGGCTGACTCTGGCAGCAGTGGTCCCTACAGCCGCCCGAGCACAAGTGTCCCCCTTTACCTTGCCAAACTGAGCCTTGAAGGACTTGGCGATCTGCTGCCTCTGTGCGTTGCTTCTCTGCGTGAGCACATCGATGATGGCCTGCTCGTTGGTCCCTGCAGGGGGCACAGTATGAGCACCCTCATTGCCCCTGGGGAACTGATGAGGGCTGGGGAGGAGGGAAGGCAGCTGCTTGGTGGCCAAGCAGTGGGGCCGCACCACCTGGAAACTCCCAAACCTGATGATTTTCATGGTGTAGACAAGACAGAAAATCCATCTGTCCCCCCATCCACACAATGTTGGGGTGCAGCCAGGCCCAGCCTCACAGTGATAGAATCTGAGGCCCCTCTGGTTATCTGATCTGCTCTGGACATCAGCTGGAAACTCCAGAGCTCAGGCAGTGAGACCTCCTGCCCTGACCTCCCTTGTGCTGGTGGCCATGGGGGAGGATGGGGACAGAGGGTCCAGAAAACTGGATCTGAGCCCTGGCCCAGCAGCTGGGTGAGTAGAAGTCTCACCTCCCCAAGCCTCCACATTTTTCTTTGGGAAGTGGAGATAATAATAAAGATTTCACAGGGAGCAGAAGACGGAACATGATTTCTCAGCTTGTCTGGGAATGGCAGTTTTTGTTAATGCCCCAATTCACCTGTCAGAGCCAGTTAGAGGGTAAATCCTGCCTGGGTGACAGCATGAGGGCTGTCTGGGCCGGGTTATCCAAATCCCAGCGGGCCTCCGGCCAGCCCTTTCCTGCGCACAGGAAAGCAGGCGCTGGAGACAGGACGGTCAGCTCTGCACAGCTCCCAACATAGTCCCATCCGAAATTCACAGTGACACGCGGGGTCCAGAGCTCTCGGGGCCGTTTTATGAGGGAGAAAAGTGCAGACTGAATGGGGGGAGGTCTCTTGCACAAGGACTCGCAGGAACACACAGCAGATGGCCTCCCCCTCCCCACCCCCATTACTCACACCTGCCCTCCCCCCTCTCCAGGCTTGGGAGTCTGTGTAGACCTGTTCTGGGGAAGGTGGGCCCTGTGTGCTTCTCGGTGCCAGAGGATTATGGGGAGACGCTCACTCCCAGGGCTGTGAGCAAAGGGGTCTTGAGCAGAGTGGGCAGAGCCCCAGACAGTCACGGGGTTCCCGGGTCAAGGCCACTCACCGATCCCCTTCATAGCTTTGTAGAGGGTCTCTGCGTCGGGGTCTGGGTTGAAGTGGGGACTGCTCTTCACCGAGACACCCTTCTGTTCAATCTGCAAGAGAAGACACGCCTGCTCATAGCGGGAATGTGGGGAAGGCAGCGCCCCTTGCAGCCAGCCCAGCAGGGTGAGCACCAGCTCCGCCCCTGCAGACCAGCGGCTGAGCCTCCATCCGTCCTGGCCCTGCCCATTCATCCAGGGTGAGGGGAGGCCCAGGAGAGGCCGCAGCTTCTGGACATGCTAGTTTCCATCAGGTCGTGCTGAGGAAGGGGCACCTTTGTCCACTTTGCACTAGGTTGCCATATGGTCCTCTCAGGTCAGGGCTGCAGAAGACCCACATGCCTATTAGCCCCTTGGCCAAGGGGAGGCCTCTCCTGCCAGCTCGGCCCTCAGGCTGGAAGGAGGGGCCTCCTGAGGAGCACTGGGTCGGCGCAACCTGGCCACCCTAAGAGATGGAATCCCAGCTCTCAGCCCCAGTGCCAGCCCTGGGGAGTTGGGGCTTGAAGGCTCAGACAGTGT